GTATTCTCTTTCTGGGATATGCACTCTGTTTTTCTTTGATAATAAAGTGACTATTCAGCTATTGTGTGCTTCCTTATTTCTAGTATCTATCATAAGTGAACCTCCTTTGGTTGGTGCCTGAATTGGCTAAATAGACTCACAGGTAATGCAACATTAGGTCTAGTGTGAGATACATTTCCTTGTCAACAACAATACCTTCTTCTGCATTTTCCAATTTCAGGTTTAGATCGATTGATGTATTTGCAGGCTTGCATGCTGTCTTACTAGTTTCTTTCAACAAATCAGTGATGTATTTCTGTTGAGATATGAATATTCCCTTTTTAGAATGGGCCACTTCAATTCCCACAAAATACTTCAATTTTCCCAAGGTCTTAATTTCAAAATTCTTGGCCAGATGTTGGCCTAAAAGTTTTTGCCCCTCCTCCTCATCACTTGTCACTATAATATCATCCACATAAACCAGTAATACTATCACTCCCCTTGACTTAAAGTGTTTAATGAACAGAGTGTGATCTCCTTGACTTTGTTTAAAGCCTAGACCTATCAGGCAGTGAATGAAGTATTCACCACTTCAGGAATTTGGTCTGCCATGTCCACGCAGTACAATGACCTTTAGGCAGTGAATGAAGGCGACCAAAAAAACCAATTGACAGCAATGAAGGCTGGAGGCCAAGGTTTGGTGTGCGATAGTAATAAGGCTGAAAGGGATGATGGCAACAAGAAGTGGACTTTAAGTCTAAGTCAACCCCACAAAACTGGCTTGTAAGGTGAGGTTTGCACCCACTTATATAATATAAGTTAGTCTTAGCTGTAGTTGATGTACATCTCACCCACCCCCCCCCCCCATGTCGAGGTATATACATCTCGAACGTGGGACTAAACATTAATGAAATAATGTCTAACAAACACAAATCTCGCTAGAATAGGCTCTTCAATCTGACTCTGATACCATGTGATAATTTAGGGTAGAATGATTCATCGTATTATGCTGAAAATACAATCTATATATACAAAGCTAGAAAGCTATTTTAAGAAGTATAATAATAGCTCCTAGACAACCAGATCCCTATGATTCAGAAATATCCCCATCATATACTGTAATTATAATTTGCTAAATAAGGAAACAATAAAACACAAATCATGACAGAAATAATACAGCTAATAAAACAGATTCTAATGTTTTGGGATTAAGTTTGAGTCATATTTGATTCTAAAATTTCAAAACCTAATTACCATCTCTCTCTGACTTTGGCATCTCCACTTCAGTTGATTGTTGAGCATATGTTCCTTCCTCTGCCTTGATTTCTGTTGCATCCTTGTGGCCTAAATTCTCTGCTACTGTGCTGACTTTATCCTTGGTTTCTGGATTTCTTGTTTCCTGGTTGAATACATGTAATATAAGATTTTTGAAACAAGTTGGGAAAATAAGTGATTTGTTTGCTCGGAGGAAGCTGATATACATGTAAAATATTACTTCACCAATGCCTAACCTGTGCAACAGTGGTGTTTTTCTCAAGTTCAATTTCTGGTATGCACCATTGCTTGGCATTATCAAAAGCTTCTGATTCATCAATGCACAGTGTTTCTTGCTGAGGAATTTGATTAGTGTCACCTTGGACAAAGGCAGGAGTGGGTGATCTTGTCTGGCCTTGTTCGTCCTGTAACTGCATTTTTGTTTCTTCTTTTACCCTTTTTGATTCTTCTTCTTTACTGAATTTTCGATTATTCTCAATCCCTTCTTTCACACTGACAGGAGATGTTGGAATCTCTTCTTTTTCATTTGTATAATTAGTGGCGTTTATTCCTACAGTTCCCTCAGTAACATATTCTGGTTTTTGCTCCTCATCGTTAGATAGTACTTTAGCATCTTCTTCTGACTCTATGTCTTCTCGACAACCCTCATCATATATCCTGGTTCCCACCAATACTGTATTGGCTATTGGTTGTTGAGCTTCATCTTTTGGCACACCTATTGTTATAAAAATGAGTTATTGAAATTAATCATTTACACTAACGTCGCAGATCTTACTATTTAAATACATTTATATGCTCTCTTGAAAATTAGAAGTCACAGGCCACAAAATATTCCCATGTAGGCCCAAAGAATTACTGTTTATATCTTATCATTCACAGAAAGTGGTGAGTAAAATTGTATCATCTTGAGATGCTAATTTTTTAATTTTGTGTGGATTAAATGATTTTCTTTTTTCATTTAAAGTGGTGTTTATTTTTTCTCAACATGAATATACACTTTTGTTTGTTTCTTGGTTTAGGTTTTTGAGTCACATTCAATTCTAAAATTTCAGAACTAATTACCTTCTATTTCTGACTTTGGTATCTCCACATCAGTCAATTGTTTGGCATCTGTTCCTTCCTCTGATCTGATTTCACTTGCATGCTTGTTGTCTAATTTCTCTGTCACTATTCCAACATTGACTTTGGTTTCTGGTTTTTCAGTTTCCTGGTTGAAAAATACAGTATGAGTATAAAATTTGTATAAGTGGTTAGGAAAATAGAAGAATTTTATTTGTTCATAACATGGTGATATATTTGTAAATTTTTATTTGTTGACGTTTCGCCTAACCTGAGCAATAGTCAATTGTATGTCTTGTGCAATTTTTGATATGCAGCCCTGCTTGTCATTATCATTTATTTCTGACTCGTCGATGTACAGTGTTTTTTGCTGCCTAATTTGATTAGTATCACCTTGTACAGAGGAAGGAGTGGGTGATCTTGTCTGGACTTCTTCCTCCTTTAACTGTGATTTTGTAGGTTCTTTAATCCTTTTTTCTTCCACTTGACTGCACTTTCCAGTATCCTGAATCTCTTCTTTCTCTATAACATTAGATGTTTGCACCTCTTTGTTTGATTTCACTGTAACATTTGCTTCTGGACTACTCTCATCATGTGCTTTAGTTCTGACTAATTCTGCTCTAGCTATTGGTTGTATAGGTTCCTCTTTTGGCTCACCTGTTATTGCAAAAGAATTTCGAAAAGCAATTACTTACACAGATTGCATGTCTTACTTTTTCAATACAAGTTGTGCTGTCTTGAAAACTAAAATAGTAACAGTGCCACAAAATGCTCTCATATTAACCTAAAGAGTTACTATGTATTTTATGTCAACAATCACATTTTATTAGTCTATATTTCGTGATTATAATTAGAAGTGTATACGAAAATATTCCTAAGTCATAGTATCTTATTATATTCATGAATAATAGGGATCTGATTACATCCTTTAATAATCGGGAGTTGGTTATATTCCTAAATCATAGGGATTTGATTACATTAAGTGCTGTTGTTATATTTCTCAAATTAGTTTTCCAATCTTGTATATGTATCTGACATACTCTTAGAAATAAATTATTTTATTATACCCTAATATTAGAGAGTTGCAAAGCTTAAACTGGTGGCATTCCTGATGTTATAAAAGATCAGATATTGTAAGGAATCGTTTGCACAAAGGCTGTTTGTTTTACTATTTTAATTCATTTATATTATTTTTGAAAATTAAAGTTGTAATAGTTCCACTACAAGTTGCTTTATTGGGAAACAATAAGCTTTTGAAATAGAAGCCTATCATTTTTCTAGTCAAAATGAAACTAAATAGTAGTAGAAATTCATGATTTTTAAAATGACATACTTTCTGTAGTGTCTTCTAGCTGCATGTTTGTTTCTTTTTCTGTCCCTTTTTCTTCCTCTAGATTGAAGTTCTTGTCATCCTCAATTGCTAGTTTCTCCTTCGCAGGAGACATTGTAATCTCTTGCTCTATAGTATCATTACTGGGGTTTATTTCTGAAGTCTCTCCATCCAAATATGGATGCTTTATGCATGTGGTCTCATTGTTCTGTGCTACAATCTGGGGTTCTGATTTCGCTTCACTTTCTGCAATGAGCTTGCATGCCTCTTCCTACACCCATATGTCGGTATAAAAAATACTGTCAGTGTTAAAAACTTTTATTCTAAGATATAAATAATATTTTGTGGATTTACATGTTCAAGTGTTAAAATAAAAGGTATTATTTATTTGTTATTGTTCACAGTTATTTAGTTTGGTTTGTTTGGTCCGAACCTCCGGAATTTCTTCTTTTGTGTCGAACTCATGTTGCAGTGCTTGCTTCTCATTTGCATATGTCACTGCAAGTCCTGCTTCTGGTTTTATATCTCCTTGAAAACACTCATCATTTGCTTTATTTCCGACCAATTCTGCACTGGGTAATGTCTGCAGGGCTTTATCTTCAGACCTCCCTATTGTTAAAGAAAGATTATATGGAAAACAATCATTTACCTGAGGCTGCTGTTACTATTTTAACACTTCCATATCTCCTCTTAACAATTCAAAAGGTCAAAGTGTCCCAAGAAGTTGCTTTTGGGGCCATAAAATTGCCATGTATGGTTATCATCCACATATGGAAGTGAATAAAACTGTAATCTAAAGAAGCAATTTATTTTATTTTATGTGAAAAAAAATTGTTTTCATTCTAAATTCATGTGTTTATTTTTCTTTTCCTGGTTTAATATCATTGTGTTTGAGTTTTGGTTTTGGCTTTCGAGTACATTGTCAAACTTCAAAACATAATTACCTTTAGCTTCTCTTTTTGGTATCTCCACATTAGTCGATTGTTTGACATCCGTTGCTTCCTCTTCTCTGATTTCATTTTCATCTTTCTTCTCTAAATTCTTTATTGAGTCCGATTTGTGGACATCATCAGCTACTTTTATGCTGCTTTCTGATGTGACATGTCCTTCTATTATATAATTTGTAGTGACATTCTGCATGCTAGTTTCTTCTGATTGTTGGTTTGCTTGTTCTTTTAATATGCTGATGTTGTGCTTGGTTTCAAGTTCTACAGGTTCCTGCTTGAATATATTTAAAGTATGAAACTAGTATAACAAGTTAATAAAATAGTTTGTTTTTGTTCACTGTAAGCATATATATATATATATATATATATATATATATATATATATATATATATACTTGCCTACTTCACTATGGCCTAACCTCAATAACTGTGGATAATCTGTCAGGTTCCTTTTCAGCTATGCAGCTCTGGGCATTATCAATCACGTCTGGTTGATCTTGATTAAGTGGTTGTTGCTTTATGATTTGATCAGTGTTTTGTTGGACAATATCAGTTGTGAGCAATCTTGGCTGGACTTCTTCCTTTGGGAGACCTGTCGTTATGCATTTGAGATGTTTCAATAGCTAAAGCATTAAAATTTATTGTGATTCTAACATACTTTTTTCTAGAAAATTTAAAATTTCCACTGTCCTGCTACACCATTCAACAATAAAGGACAAAGTTATTCTAGTAAGTTACTAACTTATTATGCAGCCTCCACCATAAAGTATTCCTTCTTACTGTAGTCATTGTTTTCCTTTTAAAACTATAGGTGCCAAATTCCGTTTCTCAGAAACGATTGTGCTCTTAAGGTATTGAGAGAAATAAGGAAATTTTGAGATAGAAGCCTACAGTTTCTTTGGTTAAAATTAAACTGAATACAAAGTAATAGAAATTAGTGAAGTTTGAGCACATACTTTCTGATTCAGTGTTTACTAACTATGTTTCCATTGCTGCTTCAATTTCTTTCGCTTCTTTATATAATTTCTCATCATCCTCAGGTTCTGTGCTGCTGTTCTCAGTGTCAATAACTGATGTTTCACCATTTTTATGTGTTTGTTGCTGTGAGATTTCGTCAGTGTGACCTTTGACAAATTCAGAAGTGGGCACTGCAGGTTGGTCTTTATTCTCAGGTGGACCTATCATTAACAATTGAGATATTTCTTTGATATTACCCATGCAAAGTTAGCTAAAGTAGCTGTTTTGTAGTCATTCGAATAAACATAATGTCTGGAAAAACTAAAGTTTTTACTGCCATTTCAAGCTACTAATAAGATCAAAGATAAGTTAATAATTTAAACATAATATCATACATTATTTACTTTTAATGCGAGTCTTTTTATCCGGATCTTTTAATGCAAGTTATTCAATTTAATAATGGCAAAAATTCTGGAGGCCATTTCTGAGTGAAAAATTGATTTTTGGGGTGATATGAAAAGTAATCAGCTTTTGATGGGAACCATAATATTTCTTTTATTTTATTTTCTAGGGTCAATATTTATTTGACTAAAGTAAAAAAATGTTGGTAAACTTTGACCACATACTATCTGTTGCTGCTTCCATCTCTTTTGCTTTCTCAAGTGTGAATTTTCCTTCATCCTTGTTCTCTAACTCTGCAGCGCCAACACATGCTGTAGTTGATAAAGTTTTTAGGGTCCCATCTACAGGCACACCTGTCATATTCAAAATAGATATTCAATGCAATGAATTGACACAGTGTTGTCTATTTTAATATTTTGTTCTACAATCAGTTTGTTTCTAGGATGTAAAACAAAAGAGCAGGTTGTAAATTTTCAGAACATAATTACTTTTTTGTTTTAGATATTTGTAATTCCACTTCAGTGGCTTTGTTAATACCTATTTCCTTCTCTGACATGACTTTTCCATCTTTTTTTATCTCTGAATTATCAATAGAGTATAATTCAAGAATCTTTTCTAGTGGTTCCTCATCACATTTTGATTTTATGCTGCTTTCCTTTGGCAACTGTTCTGAGTTGGAATTTGTAATCACATTCTCCGTGCTGGGTTCTTCCAATTGGTGGTCAGCATGTTCATTATCTGCTGTATCTTTGCCCGTGAATTGGGTTTGATCAATTACCTGTTTGCATGTTGCATCAGAATCAAATTTGTATTACAAAAAAGAAAATAAATGATTGGTTGTTTGCATGGATGCAACATGGGTATATTATGTTAGAATGAAGTTATCTGCATGTTTGTTCTATTTCATTACTGCCTAACCTCGAGAGCTTTACTCGTTTGCTCAAGTTCATTTTCTGGCATGCAGCTCTGGTCATTATCTATTGCTGTTAATGCTTCTTCCTCCTTGTATGTTTCTTCCTCACTGATTTTTACAGCCATCTCAGTGGGGTTAATTGCCAATTCAGGTATTGTTGACATGTGCTCATCCTCGTGCTCACCTGTCATTATACAATGTTAGATGTTTGTAGATATCATCCCCTCAAAGTTGGCTAAAGTCATTTTTTAATTTCTAATACATATGATAGTATCCTGTCTCAAAACCTGGAACTTTTCCTTGTTCTTTAAGACTTGATTTTGGTATTGATTCCATCATAACCTGTCCTTCTGAATCTCTTTGCTTTGACCAGCCTGAAGGCACTTCAGCTTGTTTTTCGTTTCCCACACAGACCTTACATGATTCTTGATGTATTTCTTGAGGTCTTGTTTCGGAGACTTCATCAGTCTTGCTACTATCTTCTTTCCCTTTTTCTTCTACCAATGGATATTTAGAATTTACGTCATTTCCATGTTTTTGCGGAAATATTATCACTTCACTTCCAATATTTTTAATTGACTTAATTAATGGGGCACTCTGCAAAAAGAAAGGTTATTCAGCTCATGATTTTCAATTTAAACAAAACATTCTTATTATTTAAAGTATAACATAAATACTAAAAGCTTATCTAAATTATATAAGATCTCATGCAAAGTTGAGGTTTTCCATATTTTTTAAACAATACAGTGCATCATTACATCTCCTAAAACTATAATTTGTCACTGCTTAGACCTCCAAGTTGATTCAACTTTCTCTTATTTTTCTACATTCTTTTCACAGGATCCCTTTCTAGTCTTCAATACTGTTTCAACTCTTTTTCTCGAAGTTTCCACTTCACTCTTTATGGAGTCGGAATTACATGTAACAGTGAGGAAATAACAGTGATAGAAGACTGACAAAACGTAATAAGACTGGATTATTACGAAAACAAGGTCCGGCTCAGTTTGCACTTCCTATGAGTTCAAATGAGATCATAGGGAATCAATCCAATCACAATAAGCTTCAGCAAAACAGAAATGGAAGGAAAATCACCAGTACAGTATCACAACAATGAAAATGAAATTACAGAGAGAGAGAGAGAAAAATAATTTTCCAATTCATTGGCTACCTCTCTCTTACCCACCCTCTGCTATATAACTAATTCCCTTTCCACAGATACCCTCTCAAACGTGCATTTGGGTGCCTCACACGTTTCTCCTTTCCTCCCACGTCAGCTCTTTGAGGTGGTGACATATGTCCTTGGATGTTAACAACTTTCTTGCGTCTTCGACATTTTCTTCTTGACTCTGTTCTCCCTGCATTTTGCCCTTTATTTTTGTAATGTGACCCTCTCATCATTTGCGCTTGTTACAATGCTCCCTCCTTTAAAACTAACCTTGTCCTCAAGATTAAACGATGGATAACCTCAACTGTGTCTTCATTGTCTTCCCAAGTTGCTTCATGTTCCCCTAATCCTTCCCACTAGACCAGGATTTGAGGAATTGTGGTTGTACCTCTCATAATTTCCCGCTGCCTGAGTACTCTGAAGGGTGTTAGAATGGGACCTTCTATAGTAGTCGTAAGCGGCAATGGAACATAAACAACATCATTATTAGTTCCCTTATATAGTTTCAGCTGAGAAACATGAAAAATTGGATGTATCTTAGCATGAGGAGGCAAAAGAAGTTTGTAAGCAATCGTGCCAATTTTCTGCATAATCAGAAAAGGGCCAAAATATCGCAGACCTAATTTTTTATTCTTGCGTAAAGCAACTGAGTGTTGCCTATAGGGTTGCAACTTAACCAACACCGAATCACCAACCTCAAATACTTTATGAACTCTCTTCTAATCTGCATATTTCTTCATCCTTTCTTGAGCCTTGAGCAAATTCAACTTTAATTGAGCCAAAACAACGTCTCTTTTTTGCAACATATCTTGGATTGAAGGGGGATCTATTGATGAGTATTGGTACTTGAGAAGTGTAGGTGGATCTCTGCCATAAACTATCTTGAAAGGTGTCATTTGAGTACTGTGATGATATGAGGTATTGTATCAATATTCAGCCCAAGGTAGAAATTTGAGCGAAGCTTTGGGAGTTTCATAAGTAAAGCATCTCAAGTACATTTCTACGCATTTGTTAACCACCTCAGATTGCCCATCCGATTGAGGGTGATAAGCAGTGCCAAAAAGAACTAGTGAAGACCTTGTCCCTATTGGAAACAATTGAATTTGGAAATCCATGCAATTTTACCACTGTGGAGAGAAACACGTCTACCACCTTTTTGCTGTTGAAATCAGACTTGAGTGGTGCAAAATGAGCATATTTGGATAATCTATCAACAATGACAAAAATTACTGTAAATCCCTCAAATGGTGGTAACCCAACTATGAAGTCCATGGTGATGTCTTCCCAAATTTGATGAGGAATTGGTAATGGCTGCAACAGTCCCGCAGGTAAAGTTGTTGATGTTTTTGCTTGTTGACAAACCATGCACTGTTGGACAAAGGCAGTGATATCCTTATGCATATTCTTCCAAAAGAACTGAGCTGAAACCCTTGCCCTCAGTCGATAAGGTGTTTCCATTACCAACTAACACTTGAAGACCTGAAGCAGGTTCCACTGGTAACTTAAGAAATTTGGCCAGATGTTGCAAGAAATTATCACTGTTACCACTGTCGAGTAGTATCTGAACATCCTTCCCTGCAATTGTTCCAGTAAACCGCATTGTACATGTGCCTGTTGATCCTTTTAATGCATTAAAGGATAAATGATGTGTCAATTCTTCTTCCAAGTTAACCACACATCCTCCGCAATTTCTTGTTCTTCCTTCTCATCCTCTTCTAGCTGCATAATTAAGTACGGTCGATTTGGGCACCTATGCGTGGCAGAGAACTTTTCATCACAAGTGAAACATAAGCCTCTCTCTCTTCGGAATTGCATTTCAGTAGGGGACATCTTCTTGATGGTACTGTTTCTAAAAGATGCAGCAATAGGTTTGGTGTTTGGTGTAGCCAAAATGGGTTGTTGCACAGGGTTAGTGAATGATTGCTGGGAATTGGTGGTATGATTCTGTCTATGGTAACTCACATACTGAGGTTTGGTTTTGACACTATATTTTTCTTCAAATAAGAGGGCTAAAGCAATGGCCTTTAAAATAGAACTAGGGGCTTGGGCAATGACCTCACGTTTAATGTCAGGTTTAAGACCACTTACAAAACAATCCAATAGAGCTTCTGCGCTGACGCCATAAATACGATTAGCAAGGCTAGTAAATTCAACAAAATAATCGTTTACGGAGCCTTTTTGTGTGAGTTTAAAAAGTGTTGCTCTAGGTGAATCAAACGGAGAAGGACCAAACTCAAGTTCGAGTGACCTGACCAACGTATTCCAGGAAATAATTAGACTGGTTCGTTCCATCATTTGATACCACGACACTACATTCTTCTCAAAGTGGACTGCTGCAATCACAATGCGTTGCTCATCAGGAGTATTATAATACTCGAAGAACTGCTCCGCACGAAAAATCCATTGAAGGACCTTAGATCCATCGAATTTAGGGAAATCCAGCTTCACGTTCCTCACTTGCAAAGGATGTGTGAAACCCTGTGAGTTCCGCCCCTGACCTTGAAGATTAGCTTTAAAATATGCTAATTCATTTCTTAACTCTGTCATCTCACGTGCGTGGTCACGATCGCGTTTCTCTAGGATTTTGAGAATATGCGAAAGCTTCGGTGAAGGTGTATTTGCAGTCAAGGTGGAGGTGATGAAAGCACCAATGTAACAGTGAGGAAATAACAGTGATAGAAGACTAACAAAACGTAATAAGACTGGATTATTACGAAAACAAGGTCTGGCTCAGATTGCACTTCCTATGAGTTCAAATGAAAATGGAAGGAAAATCACCAGTACAGTATCACACCAATCACAATAAGCTTAAGCAAAACAGAAATGGAAGGAAAATCACTAGTACAGTATCACAACAATGAAAACGAAATTAGAGAGAGAGAGAGAAGAATAATTTTCCACTTCCTAAACCCTAAACCCTATTCTCCCTGCATTTTGTCCTTTATTTTTGTAATGTGACTCTCTAATCATTTGCGCTTGTTACACATGTCCACTATGATTTTCATGTTTATTCATGTTTTTTCTGAATTAGTTTCTTTTTTCCGATAATCTGAACCCTATTGAGTTCTTTCCTCTTCATTTTCCTCCTCTTCCACATATATTTACCCCCACCAGAATGTTTGTTTTGTCCTTCCCGTCATCTTCTGGAACTGGTATTTTTTTTACGCTGCTTCGGTTAACCTTCATAATTTTTCCTTTCTGGATTGAGACCTCGAATTTTCTTTAATCTCATCCTCTTCATGTGACACTTACAGTTACACTTGTCTGTGGTCTCCGTATCTTTTATATGTGGCTTGGGTTCTTCTGCAATCCCCAAAACTCAAGCTATTGGATGAAGACACACGAATGGTTTTATATTATATCTTTAACACGCACTCACAACAACCCTTTGGATTTGAAGCATGGATAACGTATTGGCACACTTGATCGTGTCCAAAAATTCAACTTTTCATTAGGAGAATGAAGTTCACAAGGATCTAATAATTGACCATTTACTCAGGATGTAATGTCGTGTCATAAACCAACTATCTTAAAAGCTTAAACTATTAGGTAAAGTGAGAGGAATGGTTTAATAAACACCATACTTAAAAGATTTTGCTAACGTTGTCATGGTAATAGTCTTCTTTGTTCGTGTCATTCTTATCATGAATTTTATCATTTGAATATTATGTTATGTTTTATTCCGGGTTATATGTTATTGACTTTCGAGGAGATACTATTAATCATTGACTATTGACATATTGTAGGGATACGATGACTTACTATAAATTATTTTATTTATCTCTAGGGCTAGTAGAGTGATATATAATATATGTCTGGAATAATTTACATTATGAATTTGAATTTGAATTTGTTTCCCCATATATAAGTATAAGATTTTTTTATCTTAAAAACCCGACTCAGTTTGTTGAACGATATCAGATTTTCAAGTTCTTGTTGATTGCACATCTTAAAAATGAATCTATTGGTGGAAGTGAAGAGACTAAATAAAATGATCATGATGAATGAGTTGTTCATTAAAGAAGTTGCCTTGCATTCTGGAATTTCAAACTTGGGGCCTCAAACCTTATGAATTTGAAGATAAACTAAAATAAGTAACAGGGAAGGTCTATTACCTCATAAGCTTGGGAATCAAAGGCATTGGATCAATTTTCAGCAAATCCAACATTATTCTAAGTGATTTTGATTAAGTACTTTACAACAAATATGAAAAAAAGAGCTTTATTTTAAAGTATAAGATCTTGATAGATGCAAAATAAATTGCAATGTCTTCGTTTTCAGAAATCTGTGCTTAGACAAGTTATAATATGTAATCTTTAGTAGTATATAGCACAATTTATAATATAAAATGTTTATATCATGGTTTTGTAAAGAATGTTCTTCCATCTAATTATCAAGATGATACTGTTAGAAATGTAAAATAAATCTTTTGAAGAATGTGTTGAAGTTGTCGAATGTCAACAACTCCTCTAAAAAACTATTTAACACTTGTGCATTGACCATCTTCTGTGTGTAGTCTTGAGCTTTACTCAAAATTATAAAAGATATATTACCTAGGTTTTGATAAGTCATGTTGACTATCACATATAACTTCACGAAGAGGTTTGCATTTAATGTTACATGCAAAACATTTATTGCAGCTCTCATCAACTATGACAAAAGCACATTGAAGAACAAAGAATACATCAAGACTA